ATAAAGCCTTTGAGATTATCTCAGTTTTCCCTTTGAAACTTCATAAGACCTATTTCCAGCATCTGCATTGCTCTTAGCATTATATTCCAAGTTCCCACAAGTGGCTTCTTAATCACTGAACACTGGATGACATTTCAGCCCAAAGCTCCAAAATCGTTACACAATCCCCCCCCCCCCAAAAAAAAAATCAACATGGTCAGTTCCATCACAGCAGTATTACATTTCTGGTTCTTTGCTGTTCTCATTGGGTTTCTCTGTTGCTTTGATAAAGCACTGACTAAAAGTGACTTTGGAAAAAAAAGGTGTATTTCAGCTTGTGCATTACAGTAATCATCAAGGGGAGCCAAGATATGAACTCAAGCAAGAACCTGGAAGCAGAGACTTAAGCAGAAATCACAGAGGAATACTGCTTATGAGATTGCTTTCTCCTTGACTTGCTCAGCAACCATTTTTACACAGCACAGGCCCACCTCCCCAGGGATGACAACACCTACAGTGATTTGGGCCGTACCTCCCACAAAGGCTCAAGGATCATTGCCAAAGAGGGTTGAAAGATTGTAAGTTCCAAAGATGACAGATGAATACAAAGAAACTGTCCTGTCTGGACACCACAGGAGAGTTGGACATAAGAACCTACAGTATTTGTGACAGCACACTTGTTTCCTTCTGAGGAATCTCTTTATGGCTAACAGCCAACCTCTTTCAGAATCCTTATGTGGTCTTTCCCTGCATGCACTCAGCTAACATCTTTTCTCTGTGTATACATATGCCCTCTTCTTCTGAGGATTCCATCCAAATCCAATAAAGCTCACACTGAAGTCTATGTCTAATTATAAATCTTTTTATCTAAATATAAATATTATATTTCTTCCTTAAGTATTGTACTTGAACATATGAATGCAACCAAACACATTCAGCCCATTTTCCCAAAGAAAGCATACCCAATGTACAAGCACAAAGTACATAAATATTTTATCTTATTTTATTTCAATCAGATGATGCTGAGTGTGATGTCCTACACATTTAATAAAAGCACTGAGAGGCCAGAAGTAAGAGAATCAGGAGTTCAAGGTTTGAACTTTTATGACAATTGCAAGAAACCTGCCCTACAAGAAACCCTGATTGTAAATAAGTACAGTGAGAAGATTATAGGAACTATGAAATCACTACTGGATAAATAGAAACAGAATGGGAAAGGATCATATAAAAAGATTCATTTATCTTAGAAATGAGTTTATGCTAGAAAGAAAAAAATGTGGCTGGGGGTGGTGGCACACACCTTTAATCCCAGCATAAGGGAGGCAGAAAAGGTAGATCTCTGAGAGTTCTAGAACAGCCCGGTCTACATAGTGAGTCATCTAGGGCTACATAGCAAGACCCTGTCTCAAAAAACCAAAACCAAAACAAAACCTTAAATGAAGTTAAACAAGAAGGATAATAAGTATGTAAATACTTCCAAAATGATGGGAAACACATATACATACATACACACATACATTCATACATATATACATACATACATACATACATACATACATACATGTGTGTGTGTATGTGCTTGGCTGTACGTTTGCATAATTTTCACACTCTGATACTTGTTAAACTCAACCTCAAATGAATGACAGTAGAAATATTCTAAAAGTAGTGATTGTACTTTAAAGCAAAAGTAAAGGCTATCTTTGAACATCCAAGTAAAAAATATAAATTATTTATAAAGGAAATAACAATCATAGATTGACTTCACTCTTTTTTGACAATAATGGTTTATAACAGAATGCCATGTAAGAAAACACTTAAAAGGAAAAAGAAACCAAGCTTAATGAAAGGATTTATATCTATCCAATTTATCTTCTTGTATAAAATGAATTTTAATATTGAGAGAGCATTTAAGAAATCATATTTGGATAAGCCCTCTAAATATTATACTGAAAGTTAGTTTTATTTTTAATTAAAAAAATTATATGTATGAGAGTTATGTCTGCATGTATGTTAAGTGTACCCATTTGTGCAGTGCCCACAGAAGACAGAAGAGCGCATTAGAATTGGAGTTATGGATGGTTGTTAGTTGCCATGTGGGTGCTGAGATTTGAACCTGGATCTTCCACAAATACATCCCATGTTCTTAACCGTGAATGATTTCTCTTCTACTGAAAAATTACCCTTTGAAAACAAGAGAGTTGAAGTATTTGTCTCAAAATCTTGTGATACACATTGAATGCATTTTTATCTGTGAAATTAAGACTGCATGATGAGCATCCTGAGACAAAGACATGTATGTAAGTTAAATTGAAATTTTAAATTAAGCTATCTGATCATAGTGATATGAGAGAGCAAAGAGAAAACAAAGCCAATCTGCTAACCACTACCATGAGTTAACTTGGAGAAAAGGTTAGCCCTTCAAATCATTGAGTAGAAATGGTGAGGAGGAGAAGGGATCATTGCAGGATAAGTTTAACATTGATCAGACAGGGAAAAATAGAATAAAAATAGTGACACTACCATGGGTTGTCTAAAAATCATGAATGCAGCAGCAACAAGTGCTCTAGAATCACAAACTTTCATAAATTCCAAAATATATGGTTAAGGGGAAGTGTACATGTCTTCAAAGTGATGCATCTATATACTTAAAAGTATAAGGACATTAACGAATATTTTATCTGTAGCAAGCAGAAGACTTTCATCACCAATATAAATAAGTATTTTCTCACTAAATATAATGAAAAAATCTAAAATACTGAAGTATTCAAGTAAAAGTTCTGAAACAGCCATCAAAGACTGAAAATATAAAAAACCTATATGTATAACAATAGAAGAGGTAGGGTTTAATATCTTGGTGTTTATTAAGATCAGATTTAGACACAAGATAGTATATAAAGATGAATTTATTGTGTATTGCTAAAATGATACTTTTCTGTGAAGTTAAAATCATTAATAATTTTATAATAACATCCTATTAAAGTCCTCTAAAAAATAAGCCAAGCTTTAAAAGTTATACAAAATAAAAATAAAGTTTATCACATTTTCAAGTATAGATTGTACAAAATTGTTTGAAAAATCTTATGACCACTACACTGAAAACTTAGGCTTCATACAATGACATATATTATCCTATATAAAGGTACTACAGTATTCTTAAGTGTACCAAAGTATTCTTAAAAATTGACCATTTTTATGCTTTAAAGGAAGCCATAAAAACTTCCAAAACTAGAAATCATATGACCAACATCCTTTCAATGATTTCTTTCTATATAGAATTTATAACATGATTGAAAAGCAATGTTCAATCACTTTGAAGATAAAGAAACTCGTTTAAACAACTATTAAATCAAAAAGGAAATGAAAATAAAACTGCCATATTTCTCAAAATTAAAAAGGTACCACCAGAAGATATACAAGATACAGATGGAAATTGATAGAATTGGATATATGAATCAACAAAGTTAGAAACATAGTGCAAAATCATTTTATTTGAAACACACACACACTCAAACAAACAAAAACTCAGAAGAAAAAGAAATGATTAGCTGGATCCGGAGCATTGAGAACTGATAGGTCGGTACACTAAGACTACTTGAATAAATTAAATCACCACCCTCAGGGTGATTTATGATGACTTCCATTAAATGGATAGACCAACCAACCAAGCATAAAACAA